ATAGATAAAATAAAAGATTAAAGAAAAACTATATAAAAAAACTACATGTGTAGTTTAAAGTCAAGAAGCAAAGTGAAAATGTATTCCAAAGCATAAATGTAGGTGAATTTACCTGGTGTCAGTTAAACAGAATTAGAAATTTGAACTTGAATTAAATTTAATGTATAAGTTTCCTTCTTCCTTGATTTGTTGGATTATCACAGCTCAATTATTTCAGAGATTATGAATGATCATCTATTTACTCTTCATCAGTCCTAAAGCAACACTTGTAATTAAAACTCCAATATTCCCAGCACAGTACTCACTCTGTTTGGTAATTTTAACTGTCATCTCTCATCCAGAACCATAGCACTTACTTTCTTTGAATCACTCAAATCTTCCCAACATGTTTAGTTTATTGATTTTTCTCATTACTTCACCTCCCGCAAAAGAAATAATCAACTTTAATTTTCAATTCTAATTCTATTGACTCTCCACAAATAAGCTCTTGAAAAGCCCAACCCTTAATACAACTCTAATTAGCCATTCTTCCTGCTCCTATTTTTAGGTTTTAGAGAAGTACTGGGAGAAAAAACAAAAGCAAAGCAAAACTGATATACTAAAAGTTTTTAAAGAGTACCCCCAACATAGCCATTGCTACTTCCTACTTTCCATTTATGCCTCAAATTCCTAGATATAACCTCTGTAAGATTAGAATTTCTTTAAAATATAATGTATCTTTCTCACAAAATCCTCCCCTCCATACTTTATAATTTCTCCTTGCTAATTACTGACAAGTTCCATGGTAATTCCTGATGAGGTCAATTGTTATTCTGCCAAAATGGGAGAATGAGGCCTCAATTTCCATCTGCCTCTTTCTTTTCAGATTTGAGAGAGAGAGAGAGAGAGAGAGAGAGCACCATGCAAGCTGGGCAAGAGGCAAAGGGAGAGGGAGAGGGAGAGAGAATCCATAAGCAGACTCCCTGCTGAGCTTGGCCACAGGTCCTGGATCCCAGTACCCTGAGATCATGACCTGAGCCAAAACCAAGAATCAGCGGCTCAAATGACTGAGCCACCCAAGTGCCCCCTGCCTCTCTCTCTTAACAGGACTCTGTCTCTGTATCTTGCTTGTCCCATCCCATTATTTCAGAAAATGAGATTGTTGTTCCTTTCCTCTGAAGAGAACTTTACCACTTATTCTGAGGAGTCATATATTGTCCTGATTTTTCAGCAACCTTGTCCTCATACCTGCCACTTTCGGGCAAAATCTTTCCTACTCCAATACTTCCTTGATGCTATTGAATTTAACAATGATAACTGACCGCTCTATTATAGTCTCTCTCTCCAAGACTATGATCATGACATTGTCCTATTTCCAGTTCTCAATCAAATCTCAAATTATACCTATAGTAGTCTCTTTTACACTCTCTCATCCTTAATGCTTAGCATGCTCTTTTCCCCACCAAGTTTAATCTTTGCTCCTGTTTTCCCTGTCTCTGGAGAATGGAGTGGAAGAGGGCATGGGGAATTACAAGGAATGTGGAATTACAGGGAGGAATTAAGCCAGTAATTTGTAGTTCCCCACATATATTTGGGATGGAAAAAAGTTGAGAACTATTTTTCACCACTCCCTATGGAATCTTCATTCATTCTCATACTTACGGCAAGTAAGCAACCATACTTATATCTATGCAATAACTCCTCTATTCAGTTTTTCTCTATACTTTGACCTCTTTCCTGAGACCCACTCCATGCTTCTAGTGACATGATGAATATTTACATAATCATGTCCCACTTATCAGACATTTCTAATCTGACACAACCAAACTTTGACATCTCCCACCTAAAACATTTTCTCTAGCTTTTGAATGACCCAATCAATCTCTATTACCCAGATTAGAAAAGGTGGGGTTGTCTTCTTCATTACCTATATCCAGTTAGTAATCAGTTCATCACTTAGGCTGCAACGTTATCTTCATCAAAGAGAAAGAGAAGAGAATTCCCCAACCAAAAGGGCTATCCTCATCGATTCTTCCTGCTACACTCACTACAATCCTACCTTAGTCTAATCTCAAACAAGACCGCTTTCATCATGTTATTTCTTCTGTCCAGTAATTTATCTATAATAGTTCCCTATTATCAGCTAAATATAAACACCACTAGTGATGGATCTTCTGAAATCTAACAGCTACTTACTGTTTACTATTTACTATTTTTCTTTACTGTATTTACTATTTTTCTTTACTGTAGCATTTCTCAAATCTTTTAGTGTCAGGACTTTTTACAGTCCTAAAAATTACAGTCCTCTAAAGAGCTTTTGTCTACCTACGTCATATCCACCCATATTTACCATACTAGAAATGAAAATTGAGAAAATTTTTAAGCACAAGAATACATGAGCACACATTCCATTAACTGTCAGAGCAATGATGTCATCACACATCACCTAGCCTGGAAAACCCCACTGACACTTGTGAGAGAATGAGAATGAAAAGACAAAGAACATGTTAGTATTATTATGAAAATAGTCTGACCTGTAGCATCCCTAGCTCATTTAGAGAACACCAGTTTATCAGATCTTGCATCACTTTATCTGCCTCCCTGTTGATGATAACTGATGAGTAACGTTTGTGTGTAGCCATAGCCTGGAGGCAGAAAAAGGCCAAAAGCCACAGATTTATAAAATATCCTCCAAAATAATCAGCCCGCCTGCTCTTTAACAGTCTAACTCAACCTATCAATTTTATGCTCTGCTATTGCCATTTCCTTCCTCTGCACTCCTGACCAAGGTTAGAATCGGGAAAAAGAACCCATCTTTTTCTGCTTCACCATATTTGAAGACTATTCCCTCTGCCTGGAAGGCCTTCTCTCACTCATCCTTCAGACCCAGTTCATAGGTTACTTCTTCTATAAAGCTTTCCCTCGACACATCCCATCCCTAGTTACCTTTTTCTCTATAATTCCAAAGCACATTTAAAACTTATCACATTGCATTGTAATTATTTATATGTCTGTCTCCCCACTAATAGTGAGTTACATGAAAGCAGACTTGCCTCTTGTTTTTGTATTTCTAGTACCTCACCCATAGTGGGAACTCAAACGTTTGATCATTCCATCAAAGCCACGTCTTTGAAAGAGACAATTCAAGGATCGTCTATCCTAAAATTCCAGACCAGAGGAAGGAGCTCCTCTGAACTTCTGCAGTACTGTATGGAAACTAAGAGAAGAGAAAAGCCTAAAGGAAACTGTTATTCCTTCCTACAAAAAAACTGGGGATTTTGGCCCATATATCAAGTCTAACTCCCGACTCTTACACTAAAGGGCCTTCATCAAGTGGTCCCTTCAGCTTTTCAATCTTATTTTTTATTATTCCAATAAACACACACACACACTATCCATTCTACTTTCATCGCTTTTGTTTATATTCTTTCCTCTCCCAGAATTCCATTTCCCTCTTATTTTATTTTTATTTTTTTTTTAAATTTTATTTATTTATGATAGTCACACACAGAGAGAGAGAGAGGCAGAGACATAGGCAGAGGGAGAAGCAGGCTCCGTGCTCCGGGAGCCCGACGTGGGATTCGATCCCAGGTCTCCAGGATCGCGCCCTGGGCCAAAGGCAGGCGCCAAACCGCTGCGCCACCCAGGGATCCTTCCCTCTTATTTTAAATTCTATTTTTCCTAAAAAGCTTGGTTTAAGACCGCAAATTCCATGAAGCTCTCTGGGACTATGCCAAAACAAAGAAAAACTTCCCCTTTTGGAATATCTAATACATTTCCATCTGTTTTCTATAACCTAAAATTTCATATTTATATGTATTTATATTGTTTTGTCTTGCATTCTCCTTTAATAATTTCAAATAAGTCAATGATGCAATCCCAAATAGCTCAACAGCTCTTCAAAAGCAGGCACAGTCTTCATTAAACACTTGAGTGCCTTTATATACCAGATACTGCTACAGTTTCTACTCTCTCTCTCTCTCTCTCTCTCTTCTTTTTTTTTTTTTTTTTTGCATCAGCCCTTGCTAGCTAGTAACGGGAAAATGAAGGCATGTAATAAGTACTATTCCCTTTACTTGATTTTCTTCCTAACTGGTCAGAATGATGCAGGTTATTTTTTTTTTCTAGGAAATACTTTATCGATAGATACAGTTATCAATTTGAAAATAAAAAGTGTGCTATAAAATGCTTCTCAGCACCCTAAAACTGCAAGCTTAAAACACTTCAATCATACAGAACTCACTGGGTCCTCGATATACTTAAGTTTTGAGGAGCCCTTCCTTTTTTGTTCCTTTACCTTGAATCTTTTATTTTAGTCATTACAGTTTTAGTTCCCTTAGTGTATTCTGAAGTGAGGTTACTAGTAATAATGCCAATCTATTTCAGCAGAGCCGAAAAACAAGGCAAGTAAAAATCAAGCATAAAATGAAAACGTAATATTTGAAAACCAAGGAGTTATGGTAATTGGGCTCAGACCAATGCTTTCCCTTAAATGGAATTTGTCAAAGGGGCCACATCTTCCCTATCACCATTTCCTTAAGTATCTACACTCAAATGGTGCAAGTATTCTTGGAAAATGGAACAAACGTAACCATCAGAACTTGCTCCCCAATATCACAGATTGATGGTAACTTCTGAAGATCATTTCCCCCGATTCTTCACCCTTTTTTGTGTATGTGACAAGGTCGGTAAGAAGGAATCATAGAAAAATATAGTAAAAAAAAAAAAAATCCTAGGGTTTAGGATGCTCGGAGTCCTAGTTGCTTTTAAGTACAACAGCCTGAACTCTTATTTACACACTAGAGAGACCTGGGGTTGGTGGCAATTCCTTACCAAATACAAGAACATTCTTTGGACAAAGGAGTCCCATAATGAATTTCGTGTGAGAAGAGGACTGATGAACGAGGAAAGAAAAGAGGAAGCTGTCAGCTGACACGCAGCAGCGACTTCACCCCGTTTCCCCCCCTCCCTTCCCCTCCCCTCCCAAAAAGCTGTAGGAAATAGAAAGCCGCAGAATGTACCTTCCAGGCCAGAAGCAAAACATTGAGGATGGCCAGCAAAGGGCAGGGTCCATTCTCATTCTGAGTGATGATGGGTGTGTTCTCTTCCTTCCACTGGATCCACTTGATGTGATAGACAGACTGTCCCGGGAAGCGCTCCTTGGAGGCCGCCAGTACCTGCGCTTCCTCCCCCTCCTCCTCCTCCTCTTCGCGGCACAGAGGCACAGCCCCGGGCAACACCGCCGCGCCCGCGCCCGCGCCCGCGCCCCCCTCCTCCCCCTCCCCCACTCCCTCCCCCTCCTCCTCCTCCCCGGGGACCCTGTTCTCAGCTCCCTCCTCGCTGTTAAACTCAGAGCTACTGGGGAAAGAATGCAGGTTAGAGAACGACTCCAGGGAGTCCAGGCTCGGCGATTCCCCGGGAGGGCTCGGGTCGCTGCAGCTGCTGCTGAGGCCGCCCGCGCCGCTGGGCTCCTCGGCCCCGGCGGCCGCCAACTCCGCCCGGCAGGTGCCGGCGGGCCCCGGGCGGGGGCCGGCGTCCCCGGCAGGACCGGATCCCTGGTCCGCTCCGGCCTCGACTGTCTCCGAGGCGGTCACCTTGTGCTGCCCTCTCGGAGGCGTCGTCTGGGCAGCGGGACTCTCCGGATCGCCCTCCTTTAAGTCCAAGCCCGGGAAGGAGCTGCAGGGTCCGGGGACCCGAGGAGAGCCGGCGGGAGAAACCGAGTCCAAGAGGCTCCTCCCGGCGGCCGCCGCCCCCTGCCCATTCCCGCCGCTGCTCTCCGCCGCCCATACTCCAGGACCATCCCCGGCGGCGAGCCTGGTCTCCGGACGCCCTTCCTGCGGAGAACCTGTCCCTGGCGCTGGCGCGGCGGCCACCCCGTGTTCTAGCGGCTGCAGGCTCCCGGGGCCGCTCTCCATACCCAGCCGCCAGCCCCTCGCTCTAAAGAGACCGCGGCGGGTTCTCCTCAGCCAGCGCCTCGGACGCCATGACAGCGGCACTGGCAGCAACAGCGCCCTTGCGCGGCCTCGGCCAGGCACGTCACGGGGGGGGGGGGCGGGGGGAGCGGGAGCGGGAGCGCGCGTGCGCGCCGCCGCGGGCTCGGGGCGTGCCTGCGCGCCGCGGCCCCGCCCCTCCTGCGCACCCGCGAGCCGGGGTTGGGGTCGGGGGGGCGGGGCGGGGCGGGGCCGGGGGGCGTGGCCAGAGGCCAAACATCCTCTCACTTTGTGGCCGGAAGTTGAACTCCAGGGCAGCGCGACCGCACGCGGCTTCTTTAAAGGCTGGGCTGGGCGGGCGCGGCGCGGGCGCGGGCGGCGTCTAGTTTGGTCGTGACCCTCGCGACCTGGGTGGCGTGTGGCCCCGTCGAGGGCTCCAGGGTGGGGAGTCGGCGGTGATGTTTGTGTTATTTGGAAAAGCGCTCGTCCCCGAAGGGCTCTCGGGAGATTTGTTTCCTCTGCTTGTCGCATGGAGGATTGAAGGGATTTCTTAGGAGATGCAGATGTTTAAGGGCTGGAGTCTGTCTGTTCGAGGTGTTTGGAGGACTACACCGCACAAATCCCAGTCTCCCCGGGGTTTTGGCTAAGAAACTGGGCTCCCCACCAGCTACTGCTGAAAAACGTTCGCCCTGCTTGAGGCGTCAGTGCGGTTGTGGATATTGGCCTGCGCGGCCAAAAAAGAGTGGGTGACTTGGGCCAGTAATAATAAAGTAGTTTGTGCCTGAATTAGCCAAGTCTTTGCGGTTTTGTTGACTTGGCCTCACTTCGGATGGAGTGAGAAGTGCCTATTCCTGAAAGAGTTTTCTAATTAGAGTTGATTCATCTTAGAGCCACGCAACTTTCGGAGAGGACGGAGTAGCCTGGCAGTTTTGTTGGTGACAAAATGGGATTTGGAGCCTCTTCTGACCTGTTCTGGACAAGGAGTTCCCCTCCCCCGCCCCCGCTTTTTTTTTTTTTTTTTAAGTCTTTCCACATTTTATTAGGCTCAAGGGATACAATAGACAAGATAGGTCTTCCTTCGTAGTTAGGGATATCAATACCTGACACCTAATGGAATAGTATCTTATCTCTTTCGGTTAGAGAAGGTAGACAAAAATGCAAACTTGTTCCATTCATTCATTTAGCACAGTTCAGGACCAAGTGCATTGCTGGATACCGTGGCCCTGGGGATGCCACAGGGAAAAAGAGAAAGGGCTTATGTCTTCCTTGGGTTTACTGTCCAGTAATTTTTCGTTGCATTGCTATATTTTTAACACTTGCTTGGGAAGTATGGTTTCCTGAGAATACAGAAGATGGAGCTTCTTCCACCTTTTTGCATTGACACATTTTTGTGATATTTATCCAACTCTTGGAAAAGAGGCAAGTTTAAAACGATAATAGCATCTTCAGAATGTTGAATTTAGAAGTTATGTGTGTTTTTGGTCTCCATGTCAATTTGTAAGCAATAAATACTATGGTTCAAATCAGCATTTTGCCCTGAGAAAAGATTGCAGATGTTAACAGATTTAAGATATATGCTCCTGGAGGTGCCTGGCTGGCTCAGTTGGTAGAGCATGTGACTCTTATTAATCTTGGGGTTGTGAGTTCGAGCTGCTTTGGGTGTAGAGTTCATAAAATATACTCTGCTGGAGTAAGCATTTCTTTAAGGCCATTAAGTGCAAATTAGCATACGAGAGATTTCAGGAAATTCAGAATTTAACATAATGCCTTGATTATAGATTTATAAAAGTATATTATAGAGGTACCTAGCTGGCTCAGTCAGTAAAGCATGCAACTCTTAATCTCAGGGTGGTGAGTTTAAGCCTCACATTGGGCATGGAGCCTACTTAAAAAAATAGTATTAAATAAGGGAAGTTATATCAAGAAATTGAATGATGCTCATTTACAGACCAGAAACCACAGAGCCGAAAAGTACAGAACACATGTCTCAAATAATAATGTTTCACTAATTTTTTTTTTTAATCCTGCTTGGCTAGGCCTGTACTCACAGTGGTAGTTTTCATTGGTATATGTTTCAAATGCTCACATGCATAATTTAATAATTTATTTATAACAGAAAGAAGCAGAACCAAATTTTCTTTTTATATGTTGTCAGCAATTACATAAGGCAAAATGAACAGTGGTGAAAATGTATGTATATAATTAAGTTTGTGAAAACATACATATTATTTTTCTAAGGTGGGGAGTGGCATCTAGGGAGAAATATCAGAAGACAATAAGCTGAAAAATGTCTCATTCTTTCTTGCTTATATGTATCTTTACTTAAATGTGAGATAAAATACGCCATTTAAAAATACAATAGGGGATCCCTGGGTGGCGCAGCGGTTTAGCGCCTGCCTTTGGCCCAGGGCACGATCCTGGAGACCCGGGATCGAATCCCACGTCGGGCTCCCGGTGCATGGAGCCTGCTTCTCCCTCTGCCTATGTCTCTGCCCCGCCCCCCCTCTCTCTGTGTGACTATCATAAATAAATAAAAATTAAAAAAAAATACAAACACTTTAGCAATTAGCTTTTACTTTCCAACTTTTTACTTCCCTTTAAAATTATTTTTTGGTTACAGATGTAATAGTCTTAAAGTCAAATACTTTATATAAAAACAAAGCAGTTCCTTGCTCCATTCCTCTACACTGTTGAGTCCTGTTCTTTACAAGCAATCCCATTCATCATCTAGATATTCCTTAGCTCCTTATTCCTGAAGTTTTGATTAGCATAATTACACTCAGATTTCTTCATTTAAAAATTCTATGTTTTGTTTATTGATTTTGTTTATTGATTCTTCTAGGAGGTAAGGATTTAGTTCTTTTCTCTCATACCATTCTTCCTCCTCTTGTTCCAGCCTCCCAATTACTTTGAAAGTTTTGATTAAATAAGGTGCTCAAAGTTTGAAACATTAGAGTTATGCATTCTTAAAAAGATTTTATGTATTTATTCATGAGAGACACACAGAGAGAGGCCAAGGGAGAAGCAGGCTTCCTGCTAGGAGCCTGATACAGGACTCGATCCTAGGACCCAGGATCACAACCTGAGCCAAAGGCAGACCCTCGACCACTGAGCCACCCAGGCACCCCGAGTTATATGAGTATTATTTACCATCACTATGATTGTGATTATATTACTTTTCTTCTTAAAGTTTTGTTTTTCCTCAAATTAACAGTTACCTCATCATTTTGTTTGCTTGCTTAACTCGTCACCTACCACTAACTCAGCCATCAACCTGCCAGCACAGTCAAACATATCAGGTTACCTCTCAGATCCAGTTTAATTGTGGGTATATCCCTCCTGAAACACAGAAACTTCTGTTCCTGTGATCTAAACTTTTTGTTTAAAGAGCTGCTGTATAGCTGTCATCCTGGGACTTCCCTTTACTATTGTCTTAGGAGTTCCTTCCTCCCTCCTCATTTCCACTTTGGTTCTTTTTTGGATCTCCTGTCTTCTTCTTTCTTTGATTGGTGGAACATATTCTTATTTAGCTTCCTGAGAAAAAGTGTATTGAAAGCACATTTTTGTAGCTTGTGTATGTCTGAAAAAAGACTTATAGTCTACATTTATAGTTTAGCTAGACATAAAATTCAATGTTGGAAATACTTTTTCTTCATTTTGAAGTCATTGATCATTGTCTTTTAGCTTCCAGATGATTGTAGTCTGATACTCCAGAATTTTTGTATGTAACCTATGTCTTCTCTCTGAAGTTTGTCTCTTTCTTGGTGTTCTGACATTTCAGTACTTGCTATATTTTTGGGTGGGCCTTGTTTTATTCGTTGGGCTGCATCCTTGGTGATCACATTCAATGTAGAAACATACGTTCTTCACTTCTGGAAATTTTTTTCATTTCTTTGATAATTATTATTTATTCTTTAATTTTATTTATCTTCTTGTTCTACTTTCTAAGAGATTTTCTCAACTTTGTCTTTCAATTCTTTTTTTAATTCTTTTTAAAAATTCTTTTTAATGCATTGTTTACTGCATATATTTAATTTTCAAGAATTCTTTCTAGTTCCTTTTTATTGTTTAAAGGCACTTGGCCTTTCATCTCTTAGAATATTGATCACAGTTTTTGATGTATCCTTTATATTCTTCAAAGGTGTTTGAACAATACGCTATAAAAAGCATACTTAGTAGGGAGTTATTCATAGTGCCAGAGAGTAAGATATAGGGAATACAAGTGTGAAACACTGATTTTTTTCCTTGGAAGGGCAAAATCTGTTTTGGGAAATAAGATATATTTACATGAAATATTGAGAACATAAGTCACTTAATAATTAATACTGAGTGGTGGGGCACCTGGGTGGCTCAGTCAGTTAAGCATCTAACTCTTGATCTCAGCTCAGGTTTTGATCTCAGATCTTTGAGTTCAAGCCCCACATTGGTCTCCACACTAGGCATGAAGCCTATTTAAAAAAAAAAAAAGGTACTGAGTGGTACAAGCAATACATAAAAATTCAGATGGGGTGGGATGCCTGGGTGGCTCAGTGGTTAAGCATCCTCCTTCGGCTCAGGGTGTGATCCTGGAGTCCTGAGATCGAGTCCCACATTGGGCTCCCTGCATGGAGCCTGCTTCTCCCTCTTCCTATGTCTCTGCCTGTGTCTCTCATGAATAAATAAATAAAATCTTTAAAAAAAAATTCAGATGGGGAAAATCTGTTAGCAGAGATAATTGAGGAATTAAGCTACATTATCCTAATTAAAATCACTGATTGTTAACTTAGGCTTAAAAAAACTAAAAAATACATCTCTAACTCTCAAAATTATCATTCTTTTAAAGTTCTTCGTTTTTTTAAGTTGGATCTTGACAGGAAAAAGTTGGTACTGTCTTTGACTTTTACCCTAATTTATTTACTATTATCTGTGAAGTCTTACTGATGTTATTATACATGCCTTTTCTATTTCACTCATTTATAGCCTCCTCCCTTGCTGAGTCTTTATCATCTTACTACTAGTGTATGTTAGCATTCTAATCTTTCCCCAGCCTATGGTTTTTTCTTCTAAATCCTCATCTCCCATAGGAAT